TGAGAACTGAAACAAGAAGACAAGAAAAATAAAGATGACGACAGGTCATTGCCTTGTTTGACTTCATCTAGGAGCATGTGTTTTAGACAATGCAAAGCATGTATGCAAATAATTGTCTGAGGCACCATGAAGATTGATTTGGGGATTAGAAATAATTTTTAGGGATTTTAACTCTTTGCTTTTTATATGGTAAACAATTCTTTCTAGGTTTTGTTATTTTTACTTAATTATAGCTTTTACTTTGTAATTTTTATGTAATAAAGTTTATATTTTCCTTGTTGCTTCATACTTTGATTTAGATTTAGCAAAGCTTCTCTACTCCCAGTAGAAGAATTTACCCTTTCTTCTAGTATTTGTATACACTTATTACATTTAAAGGCCTGGTCCTTTGGAATTTATGCTGGTGTGTAATATTTGGATATTAGTACAATTTTATCTTTCCCATATTACTCTGCTAATCTCTCAGTGTTTACTTAAAAGTTAATCTTTTTGCCTATTGATTTAACATGCTGCCTTTAACATATAAATTTCCATATATAATTGGGTCTATTCATATGTTAATATCAAATTGGCTTGATTATGTAGAGGCCTTAGAGATTGTTTCAGTGTCTGATAGGGCTGATAGTCCCTCTTTCCCCTGTCCCTGACTTAGTGGGTTTTTGTGTTGTTGTTTTCTAGGATTTTGCTGTCTATTCTTCCTTATTCTGTATGAACTTGTCATTTCAAGTCAGTTTACATATCACATATCAGAGTTTTTCATTTGGCTCTTCATTACTTCTTTGCTGCTACATGAAGATTTATATTTGGAACATTTAAAGTGATCTATGAAAGAGAAAAATTACCCTTCCTGAACCAGTGGAATGGATAGAACTGTTTCATTTAAACCAAAGCAGAGAGAAGCAGGATTCTTTGAGGCTCACCTTCTTTAAGAAGTGATTCAGGTTACTTGTACCTCTGTTTTCCCTGAGCTAATAGTCACTGCAGTCCCTACCTGTGACACTGTATCTGCATGTTTGGGCAAATACTTTCATCCTCCTCCTCTCTTTTTGTCAGCCTTTTGGCTGTAAATTGTACTTTCTTAGACTTTCATTCCAGACGTTAGTTGTCATCCTTGGAGCTTCTAAATTATTCCCTTAGGGACCAGATACAAGGAATGTTTCCTACTATATGGGTAAAAAATAGCTTTAGATGGAATTTCATTGTGCCTCTCTGTCTACCCATAGCAGAACTACCCACCCAAGAGACGCAGGTGAGAAACCATCATTAGAACTAAGTGAGTTTGGTTAGGTCACGAAATGAATATACAAAACTCCATCATTTTCACGTAGAGGCAATTAGAAGATACAGTAGAAGGAGAAATTCCATCACAGTGGCAATGTGTCTCTGTCTCTCTCTCTCTCTTTATATATATACACACATACACATATATATGTAACATATATAATATATATAAAATGCCTAGGAATTAATTCAACATGACTATAGATCTCAAATGAAGGAAAAACGCTATAAAATCTATAAAAAGACCTAAATAAAGATTAATTTTGAATGAATACAAGCCATATGGTGCTTGTAGTTGGGATAGCCCTGTTATAACCCAGATGATACCAAGTGTCCCCAATTCATGAGCTCCGTTGTTTCTTTCCTATGTGAATAAAATGACTCTATTGTATATATTGTTGAAAGTCTAACAGTTTCTCACAAATCTCTAAGCATTTTTAGAGATGACTGAGGGGCTTATGTTCTCATAAATCAGTATAAACTACAATAACTGTTTCTCTGCTCTCCTGTTACTTAATCATTTATTTATTCATTCATACATTTAATCACTTTACAATTGAGTGCTTACTGAGTCTTAAGCCCTCCATAGATGCCCACTAACCATTGCTTAGGGTGTCTGTGGCTCCTTTCTATTCCTGGTCACCCTTGTCTTGGAACATAGTCTCTTTTCTATCATTGCCCATCTGAGCACCACCGATATAAGGCTATTTTGTACAAGACTTTTGCTGAGATTTTTGAGGGTACTAGTGCTGGCTAAGCATTGTGGAGGGGAAGAGTAGATGCAGTGTATAAGTATGAATAGCATAAAACAAACAACGAAAAATGAAATGTTACACATCTTAAAGTTTCTGGGTCATCCCCTCTGGGGAATGTCTCACTTTATCTTTTATTCTTTGGTCCCAACTACTCCTATCTTTTGGAATTGCCCTTCTTCTGTCTCTCAACATGTCTCATGTATCCTCTCTTCAGCCTCTGATTTCTGGACTGCCTCTGATTTCCTATCCTTTGAGAACTGAAATCTCCTCTTATTTTATAATGGATAACAATTTATCTCTTTTTCTCCCTCTTGCTCATCTAGATCACACTCAAGGGGCTTTAATTAGTCATCGAGCTATTGTGCCCATACCCAGAGAAGTGTTGCTCACTCTCTGAAAAGAATTCTTTTGATCTTCAGAGGTACAGTTTTTAAAATATTATTTTTCTCCTCACTACACTCAGATATTGAAGAGATCAAGTTTTTACCAAATTAATAAAGTAAGTAGAAGATAATTACAACTATAATACCAATGATATTTTTTCTGGAATTTAATAAAATGATAAAGTTAATTTAGAAGAAAACCATATTCAGAGAACAAGATAAATCATAAAAAGAGTAATAATGGAGGACTAACTTTACCAAGAGTTTAAATAAAACAACGCTTATTGTTATAGTAGAAGAATGAACGGAGATGTAAAATGTAACACAAAGTATAGAAACAGATCTAAAGGAAATAAAAATTACCAGAAGAAAATATAGGCAGCTGACTATTTATGTAATCCTGGACCAAGGCAGGCCTCTCTAATCATGGCTCTGTGTGTGTGTGTGCGTGTGTGTGTGTGTCTCATTCTTACAAAAGAGGGTGGAGAAGCAAGCTTTACAAGATGGATGGACCTAAGAAACATTATGCTAAGTGAAAGAGCCATATGCAAAAAGTATACATTATATGATTCTATTTATGTGAAGTGTACAGAATGAGCAAATCTGTATAGCAGATTAGTGGTTGTTAGGGACTGGGAAGAAGGGAAAAGGAAAATGACTGCTAATTAAACATAGGAGTTTTTGGATTTTGTTTTTTAGTTTGTTTTAGAGTGATGAAAAATGTTCTGTAATTAGGTACTGGTGACGGTTATACAACATGAATATACTAATGACCACTGAATTGTGTACTTCAAAGACTGAATTTTATACATGGATTATATCTCAGTATCAACATTTTAAAGACAAATCACTTCCACATGGGGTATTACGAGAAAATAATGCAGCATGCCAGTAGAGAATGGTTAAAGAAAGTGTTAAAGAAAAAGATATTCAGTGACATTTGTTAAACATGGTGAGTTAGGCTCTATTCAGGACCATTGGGATAGGTAAGGGAACCATGCAATGGGATTTTACAGTTGGGGAGAGAAATTGGTCTCAACCCAGCAGTTTGGGGTGGTGGCCATTTATAGTCAAGGATCAGGGTAGGGGTCAGTGGATGGAAAATTACTAAGAGGAAACCTCAGGGGTAAAGGCTTTTGGCTAAACTGACCTAACAATATTCTTGCTAAAGACAGGCCAGGGTAATTATCACCTGGGGCTTGATTGATACTGAGGGTGGAGGGTTCTGGTCAAACTGTTCCTGCTAAAACTAGGTTTTATAAGGCAGTGTGTGGATGGAACAAGGAGAAGGTCTGGGAGCTTGACTACAGGATCTTTGTCAAATGTGAACTAAAAATTTTAAAAACACAAATGATGAATAAACATATAAAGCGCAAATTAAACAATGAGATGAAGTGTTTGCTTATTTATTGGCAAAGATGGAAAGAAATTATAAATTTCCATCTTTGGGTACATTGTAGTGTAATGAATATTCCCACATACTGGAATGGAAAAAGGACAATTTGGCAGTATTTTTCAAAAGCCTTAAATTGTGTTCTTATGGTTCCATTTCTAGGGATTTACTGTAAAGAAATACTGTGTGCCATGTAAAATAAAGTAGTAAATAATACTAACACAAGAAATTTTTTCTGCTAGGGAGAAAAATTAGGATGTGTAATAGAGGTGGTGCTTGATTGGCTTAATTAGTAGAGCATGTGGCTTTTGATCTGAGTGTCATGAGTTCAAGCCCCATGTTGGGCATGAGTCTACTTAAAAACAAACAAAAGTATAATAGATAAAATGAGACAGACTGATAGAAGTACACATCAAAAGACTGGAGAGATAGGTAATTTGTATTTCCTTACAGATTCTTACTGTTTCATTTCACTATATTTTCCAAATATTCTAGATTATCCTTTATAACTAGAAAATAATGGAAAAGTTATTTAACATAATACAACTTCAAGTATGGTAAAGCTTTTTGGGTAGTTTTGTTTGGGGAACACCATAATAGAAATGAGATTAGAAATTTTTTGTTTTTCCTATTTCAAAACGAGAGATTCAGAGGAAGCTAAGTGGAAATTCTCAAAAGCTCCAAAGTCAGACTCTCACTTTCTAATTGCCCACATGAATTTCCTTCAGTGGTGTATGTATAGCTTCAGGATTTAACCAATGAATTGGTATTTGTATAACGTAGACTGTTGTAAAGTAGAATTGTGGGGGCGCTTGGGTGGCTCAGTTGGTTAAACATCGAACTTTGGCTCAGGTCATGATCTCACTGTTCCTGAGTTTGAGCCCCGCATCCGGCTCTGTGCTGACAGCTCAGAGCCTAGAGCCTTCTTCGGATTCTGTGTCTCCGTCTCTCTCTTCCCCTCCCCTGCTCATGCTCATGCTCTGTCTCTCTCTCTCTCTCAAAATTATATACACATTAAAATTTTTTAAAAAAAATTTGGTGTTGTTATATCTTAATTCCAAGAATTTTCCTCTTCAAAGCCAGGTATTTTAAGCTCCACAACCAGGATCATGTTGACTGGAGTTCTTTTTGATAGTTGATTTGAATATGTTCCCCAGGTGTAACAATTTTCTTCTTCTGATTTCCTAGACAGAATCATGAATAAACTGGAGGACAAGCAGGACCAGATGATACCATGAAGAGAAGTTTACAGGCCCTCTATTGCCAACTGTTAAGTAAGTTGATATCACATTTCTTTTAGAATATACCAGTGTTATTGTTTGTCCAGCTCCAGAAATTTAATGCATTTTCTGGAGTAAGACCAGGGTTTGCACAATAGAAAATTTTCCCTCTGCTTCATCTAGGTACTTAAAGTATCAAGCATTAAGTCATTCTATTGTTTTTGGCATCAGTTGTAATGTAGACTCTGTTATAATAATACTAAATTGGCATGTTAAGCATGGTTTATTCAAGGATGAGTGTCAAAAACACTATTGTTCTTGGTTTTGTAGCAGAATAAAGGGTTCCAGTATGACCTTCTGTAGGTTCCTCATGAAGAAGGAATGTTACGCTGTGTTTTGTGGATTTTGTCACATAGAACTTGTTATCATTGGTGACTGTACAGCCTTTAGTTATCTGTGTTCTTAAATAGTGAATGATAAAAATGTGATTTCTTTAGGTTTGGTGGTAGAGTGAATAGTGTTTGATTATGACTTTATGCATGTTGCTCATGTGTTCTGGGGGGTGTGCCACAAATATCCAGGTAGGATTGCAATTGTTAATGAATATAAAAACCAGTACTAATACCATTTGGTGGGTTTGATGTTCATATTTACCCATTTCAGACAATAGACATCACTCTTCCAGGTCAAACCAAAGCCGTTGAGTTGGGAAAACCTGGAGTTCATGGTGTCTGTCTGGTTCTTGCTGAGGTATAAATATCTATCTTTCCTAAACTGGATGGTTCCTTTTCAACTTTCACCAAGAAAATAAGGAGAGATTGAGATGGAAATCACCAGGTAGCCCTTAGAATTTATCAATTCAGGTTATGTTGCACCCCCAGTGCAAAGCACTTTATCTACAGAAAGTATTCTGGTTAGGTCTTTTAATTAACTTATTTCTGCTACTAAATTCTAATACCTGAAACACAGATCACATCAGCCTGTTTTCAGCTGGTGAAACATCGCCAAATTATATGGACTCTCTCATGTTCTTTTTCCATGTATTCTATAGGACTGTGGGTTTATTGCCTTTTTTTTTTTTTTAAATAGTAAGCTGGCTTGTTAGAAAAATGGCTTTACAGATTGAAGAAGCAGTGTCATCAAGAAATGATTAACTCTGCCTTGATGGGAGAAGGATCATTTGAAGGTTAAAAAGGATTATACACACACACAAACACACCCTGTCAAGAAGGGAAAGCAAGTAGGCAGAAGAGACAGGAAATGAAAGAGTTCAGTAGATTTGGGAAGCAGCAAAATGTTTGTTGAGTTCATCACCTATGTTGAATATATGCCCCAAAGTTCATTTAATATTATAAGGTCATATATTATTTGAAAGGCATCAGGTAAGTATTCTATGAGTCAGAGATCAAATGTTGAATGCTAATGAGGTCCATCCTCCCAAGTAGAGCCTTTATGGAGCTAAAGGAGTTTTCCTCAAACATCCGGATAGCTGCAGAAGCCAACTTTATCATAACAGTTTCATTGTTTGTAGCCTTGCCTCAAAATGCAAGCAGCCCAGCGTAGGTAGTTTCCTGCTAGTTAGGAGGAGGTAGTAGTGACCCTTAATAAACACCCTGGTTACTAGGTAGCTGACTGTAGGAGTCCAGCTTTGTACAGAGCTGGGAGGGTGGAGCACTGGGTCACTGGTCAATTAGTCTGACTTCAGAGAATGGTTTTCACAATTTCATCAAGAATGAGAGGTTGTTATTTATAGCTTCCTTTTCACTCAAGAGGATTGGTTATTTCATAAAACCCTAGCTCACTTAAATTCTGGCACAATTCACACTCAATAGCTTATATATGTCATTGGTCAGCCAGTTATTAAGTTATGCTTGGATTAAAGTTGTCCACAAACAGTATGTTTTTTTCAGTGTCGAAAACAAACTTGAGAACTAGAGTTAATATAGACTTACCATGTTACTTTATATACTTCAGCAAATTGATGTTTTTAATTTGGGGGGGAAACCTGGTAGAGTGTTCTGGTCATATTTTGTTTCATAACAAGCCACCCTGGAACTTTGTAGCTAGAAGCACACTTGTATTGCTCATGAACCTGCAATTTGGGCGAGGGTTGGCTGAAACTCCATAGTGTCTGGGATGTGGGCTCGAGGCTGGACGGCCTAGGGCCCGCCAACATCTTTTTACCTTGAGGCCTTTTCACGTGACAAAGTGGGGCTTCATGTGAGGCAGCACAGTATTATGGTAGTCAGACTTCTTGTATTGCAGATCATGACTGTGGGGCCAGGGTAAAACCTACAAGGCCTGTTATGAATTGGCCTGGAAACCCAAGAGCAATACTTCAGTCACACTGTATTGGCCAAAGGAATCACTTAGATCAACCCTTATTCAAGGGGAGAGTTCTTGGACACCAACTCAGAGGGAAGATTAGTAAGAATTTGTAATCCTCATTAGTCTACTACGGAGAGTTTTGGTTTAAAAAAAAACAATTACTTACTAATGAACACTAGTGAGTTCACGAGTTATCTTTATCATCAAAGAAGCCACTCCCTCTTGAGTGCCTACTACATTCACAGACATCTGCTTATTAGTTTATTTATATCATGTCATTCATTCCAGAGGCAAATGCCTTAAGATGAAGAAGTGTTAACCGATGAGTAAGTTAAGGACTGGCCCAGGGTGACTGAATAGTGAGTGATGGAGTTGGAATTCACACCCGGGTCTCTCTGACCTCTTTGTTCATGCTTGTTTCTTCATCCTGCCTGGTGCGTCCACCACATACCACAATAGTGTGGCCCTTCCGCTGTAACCTATGGCTGCTTAGAGATGATTCTGACCCGTGGTTGGTAAAGTTCACATTCTATTAGTGATATCAGGTGAGGCTTTAAAAAAAAAAAACTCTAGGCCCTCTCTGGATCATTGCATCACAATCAATAGTCACTGGGGCTTATGTGTGTCTGATAGGGGCCAAGAGATACAGTCTTTGGCAGGTTGGGAAGTTGAGATTTTGATATTTTATTTTTATTACAACTGTCTAGTTTGTTTTATTTCTTGAGCTCCATTCCACAGTATTGAGTGTTTCATCCTGCCAATTTTATCCCTTTGAGAAGGTTTAACACATTTTATATGATACTTTGAAACAACTGAAAGCTTGAGGATGAGGGTGGTGATGAGAACCTTCACAGTTATGTAAAAAAAAAAAAAAAGTGCTGCATTCATTTTTCTTTTTTACATCATAAAGTAAGTGTGAAGCTAGTGCTAAGAATACCTAGGTTTTTGAGTGGCAGACCTGGGTTCAGATGCTAGCCCTACCACTTAGTAGGTGGCTTCTGTTAGGGAAATTGCTCTACCTCCATGTACCTCATGTAAAACGGGATATGACTGCCCACTACCTAAGACAGTATTGAGTGAGATAACACAGCACATAGAAGACCTACAATAAATGTCAATTTTCTTATTGGGCCTTCTGTCTCCAAGAGAGGGATACAACCTAACCCGGAGCTCCACTGTAATCTTTATATGGGACTTTCTGATTCACAAAACATTTTCACAGAATTTGATCCTCAGAATACCTCAGAATATGTATTAAGGCAAATGGGACATAAATTATCATTGATTGCATTCTCCAGAGGAAAGAGTGGACATGATCAAGACTGCTTTTCCCAAGACCATATAACTTTATAGTTAAAAAAAATAATGGAAAGTACGGAACATCATCAAAAACCTTTAAGAACATGACACTGCTGGGAAAGCATTGAATCTCAAGTTAGCAGATTTGGTCTCTGCCTAGGTACTAGGTACTTTGCTACTTCCTTCTTAACAAGACTAAGATAATTATTATGAGCTTATGAAAGGAAGTTTTTATATACCAATATCTATTCAAATCAAAGTTTGGATACTTAAAGGTAAGGAGTGATTATGTTTAGTAAATTAAGTTTTGCTCTATAATCAGGTGTTTGTATTTCTTGAATCATGCTCTATATTATTATTGATATATCTTGCTTGCTGTTGAATGCCCTGCATATACTGGACTAACTGAAGTTGGCTCATCTATTCTGTCTTCATGGTTTGTTTCTCCTGATGAGTAAAAGGAAGTTTTTCCCTAAGATTGAGGAGGGAAAGTTGATATAAATCATAAGTTTAGGTCAGTTTAGATCCAAACTAGTAATGAGTCCAGAAAGGTAGGCTCTTTAGGTTTAACAGGCAGTCATAAACATACTGCATTGTGGACACATATGAAATGAAGGAATATCATCTCTTCCACTGCCACTGAAGGTGTCTTCCCTTGCCTTTTACACTGCTTGTTCATAATATCCACAGAGAGTAACAGTGTAGCAGCCATGGTTAAGGGCTTGGATTCTGGTTGAAGACTGCCTGGGGCCAAATCCTGGTTTACCACAAATTCTTTTCCAAATGATTTTCACCCCTTTCCCATATAAGACATACCATTTGAGTGTGCCTTCACTGCCAGTAGCTGTTGGACTGTCTGTCCACCACCGCTTGCAAATATGTCTCTCTTGAGGCTACTAAAGATTCTGCTCTTGTACAAATAAAAAAGCATGTCCTATTTAGTAGCTAAGAGCAATTTATTAGCCTGCAATTCTCTCATGCTACCCCCAGTGTCTATAATAATAGTAATAACACATTTGGTCTTCAGTCAGCATTATGGAAATGGATGCATCCATTTCATCAAAACTGCAATTCAGTATTTTAGGCTAGATTATTCTGATTGGCTTTCATCAGTGTTTGTTGAGAAACACTTTGCTTTGCACTTGGCTTTGCACTAGAATCACCTGGAAAGCTTTTAACAAATCCCCTTGCCCAACTCTACCCTACATCAATTAAATCAGAATCTTTGGGGGGAGGGAGTGGGAAGTGTGGCAACTGGCAGATGATTCTAATACACAACCAGGGTTGAGAATCACTGGCTTACAGCAGTGGTTTTAAACTTAGCCATGCAACAGCATCACCTGAAGACTTGCTTAAACACAGATTGCTGGGCCTCACTCCCAGAGCTCCTGATTCAGTAGATGTGGGATAGGAACAGTAATTCGTGT